AGCTCACTATTAACTAGCAAAACTAAAGATAACTAGCTATGTTCATTTATATATGGGGATACATTTAGTTTGATTCATTTATTTATTTTTTTTGGTTATTTTACTGGTATAGACCCTAATGTTGCAAACAGATGTAATTGCTTAGATCCACATTAAAATCAGTGGAGAAAGATAACAGGCCAAAAGGTTTTGTATGGGGGGGGGGAAGCATTCATGGCTCCCAAAAAATAGAGTTTTTAAAATGTGTCTATCATTAGATTTCCTCCCCGTTTCCCCCCCCGGCCCCATCTTCGACAGTTGCTGTCCATCTCCTGTTCTCTGGCTGTTCTGCGAGTTTTTTTTGTTTCCCTTTTCTTCCTTCCCCTTAACCTGTTGTTCCCAATTTTATTTTACTCTTGAGCATTTCAGTTTTTTCTCTGACGCAAGATGTTCAGCCATGTGAGGCCTGTCTTGTATTAAAGTGATTTATTAAATGGAAGATAAGAAATTAAAATCTGATCCTCCAGAAAAAGCTTTTCTTCTGCGTGAGTATCTGGTATAACCATAAGAATTGAATGTAGAACACTTTACAAATTGTTATTGTACTACTAGCTAGATAGTTGTGCTTCCTGTGATTGGTCACAATTGAATCCACCTAAAACTAACTGCTGAGAGAGGGGGAAAAAGCTAAAGGGAAAAATATGAGGAGTATTCAAACAAACAAAACCCCAAGGACCTGTCTTCTATGTTCATAACCAGGGGACAAAGGTCATGGTCAAATATTACTAAAACCAGTGTGTTAAACATAGTGCTAAAGTAAAGTCTTTATGTTCTAAATTGCACATGCTCTGGTTTACAGCAATGCAGAGTGTGGCTGCTTATTTTTCCTGGTACTTCTAGTACAGCCCCTTTGGGGTCTACCAGAGTGAAGACAAGTAAATATTTATGAAATCCACATTTCTAATGCTGTAGTTCTGTACCCTGTAAAAAACGTAATAGTGTGGAGTAAGGCTTTTGAGCTATGTCTGTTCCTACTGTAGGTAACCTTTCTACTGCTTCCCAAATGCATATATATCTATATTGCAAACAATAAAACAAAGAAACCAGGGAAGAAAGGCATTACATGAGTTAGTGGCTTGGATCTTCCAAATTGGACCATCTTGACCAAGGTCTAACCTTTCTGAGGCGAAAGAGAATGATCAGGGGCAGTTGAACAGTTGAATTGCAGGTGAACTACATGTATAATTTTGAAATTCTTCAAGTAGGCCTCTGTACGTTCCCAATAATGGAAGATGTGCTGCTGATGTAGCAGGATTAATGGAAACCTCTAAAATCTCCACCTGTTGGAGCACCCATGCACTCTCCTTCAGGGCCCCAAATGTTCTGCAGGCAAGGATATAAAAAGAGAGCCCCAAGTGCCTCGGTTTCATTAAACTCTGTGGTATTGGGCAGACCAGGAACACTGGCTGAGTGTCCGACCTAGCTCTCTGGAAACAGTTTCTAAGTGCCTGCCTTTAGATAAGTTAATTGTTAGTTCATAGTTGGTAGATAGTAGTAGAAAACTTGGGGGCCATTAGGTGCAGACATACTGGCACTTGTTCTCAGATCTGTGATGCGAGATCCTAAAGCTAAGAGACAGGAGTTCAAGAGGTGTGCTTTATGTTCAGTTTGTAATCTCCTACCTGGCCTGATCTATAAAACTGCTAGCCTCTCATCACTTTTCAAGATCTGTTTTGCCGTGGTGCTCATATGAAACTTGCCAACAATTTATTGCTAGACTCAGAGGCCATCTTGCAGGTGACCGATGGGTAGTTAGGGAAAGCTAATATTACATAATTTATTTTTATTATGGTGTAAATTAATATTTATATAAAATGAGATTTGTCTCCTCAACCCACACCCTTCATAAGTTGATTCCCATTTTAAAATGCAAGTAATTTGGGTCAGAGACCATGCCAATTACTATGTTTATAAAATGCTTTGTACATTGAAGTCCTGATTAAAATCTCTTGACACAACCATAATATGCATATTTAATAACTAATTAGGCATTGGTAACATACACTGGGTGATTATAAATATATAATCAAAATATATAAAAAATGAGATGCAAATATCCTACACATGCCAGCTTTTTTAACTGGTATTTCTAAAATTATTTTTTGTGTTTTAAGTAGTTTTGGGATCTTTTTGAAGGAGATTGTGGGGCAAATTCATCCAGAGTGTAAGTCCCTTGAAGTGACTGGAGCTATATCAGGAATGAGTTTACCTCCATAATTGTGGCAATGAAACTTTGCATGGAATAGTCAATGTACATAATTACTCCTCAACAATGTGCTCCTCAACAATGTGCTCGTATGTGGTCCAATAGATAGCTGTCTTAAATTTATCCTTCTTGAGATACAGGTCACTTGAATCCCGATTGTTCATTGGAAGTCTTTGCAGACCTTACACAGCCAGGGTATGAGTGCATTTGTTGTTTGAATAAATCAAACCTACCCATTCATATTTTTTTTCTTAATGAGATTTATTCTTTATGCTGCAGAATCTTCTCTTTTGATAGCTTATTTTTATCATGTGCAGCTTCTAACGGGGAATACAGAGGGACAGTAATACGTAGTACATTACAACTAAAGGTCTTGTAACTTGGCATGCAAAGTTATTTGTGCTGTTTAATGTGTGTCATGACATGAAACTGGTGAGCACCTCTTGTATTTAAGTGATTTCTGATGATTAAATATCTGTTTGCTAGTGATCTAGAAAACGGTTTGTGGTGGTTTATTTTATATTCATTTTTTTTAAAGTGTTCCTTTAGGCACAATAGAGCAGCACCAGAGAATGAATGAAATATTGGGGGGGGGGGTTCCCTCTGGTAATCTGGTTACTGACTGCAATACAGAATACTCTGAAGGTCAGGCAGAGTATAGCAATACATTGGAACAAACTCAAGTGTTGCAACATCAGAGAGAGTTTTACTCTGTTTCCCTAGAGGTCAGTGTGCTGATATACTACAACATTTCAGTGATTGATATCCCAACTAGTTTATCTGTGAACACTATTCGCTACCATTTCTTCGAGGGGCATCTGTCTAAAGCAGAAGCATCCATGTGAGAGTTGTGCTAACTGCCAGTGTAGAGAAGTGGGTTGCCAAGGTTTACAAGCAGACTCAGCTAAGCTTTTTTCACCTGACCTACGTAATCTTGGTCTTGGAGGTAACAATACAGCAAAGGTCTTTCCTGCTTTGTCAGTGCTATAGGTAGCATTGGAATAGAAAATACTTACCCATTTTATTCTTTGTGCAGCCAGCAGTGATGACGGGTTAAAACACTTCCAAAAACAGTAGTGAACAAAGAGTAATATGCAAGTGACTTAAAAATTCTTCAGTGGTTTGCTTGCTTCTTAGAGTATCTCACTCTTTTTAAACCTGGTTGACAAGTGGTATCTATGAATGTTGACCATAATACTGATCTAATGCTAATAACCTTCCTGATATGTGAACTGCTTAGTATTCAGCAGAGATTGAGACAGAATATTACGAGACATTCAATCTGAAAACTTTCTCCTCGATTTGTTTTTGGCATCCAAATTGATGCATCTGAGCAAATGTGTGATTTGAGATTCAGTTCTTGTCAGTGTTAGACCACTCAGATGCTGTTCTGGTGTGTCCTTTTCAACTTAACTGTTTTGGGTTCTAATCTGCAGCGCACCGTAGAGAATGTCTGCATAGTTTCTTGTAAACATTTTCCTCATTTTAGTCCTAGATTAAAAGGATTTCTATTTATTCGAGCTTCAGATGACTTGCAATTAGCTTTCTCAAATGGACCCAATAACTTGCTTAAAACTTTCAGTGTGATAATGGTAAAAAGTAAACAAAAAATCGTTAGTGAAATAGATAGATGGCCTTGTCCCAGATTGTTATCTTGCACCCAGTTTATTCAAAGTAATGAGTCAGTTTTTTCTCTTCCTGTTTCAAGGAAATGAATGGCATGCTGAAGAGCATGCTTTCAGAATGGTTTTCTACGGGATTCCTAAACCTGGAGCGAGTCACCTGGCAGTCCCCTTGTGAAGTGCTTCAAAAGATTAGTGAGTAAGTGCCAAGAATTTCCAATGTTTGATGTAGTTCAGGGGTCGGCAACGTTTGGCACGCGGCTCGCCAGGGTAAGCACCCTAGCGGGCCGGGCCAGTTTATTTACCTGCTGACGCGGCAGGTTCGGCCGATCGCGGCCCCCACTCGCCGCGGTTCGCCGTCCCGGGCCAATGGGGGCGGCAGGAAGCCACAGCCAGCACATCCCTCGGCCTGCGTTGCTTCCCGCCGCCCCCATTGGCCCGGGAC